TTTTTTTTTTTTTTTTTTTTAAAAAGGGAAGTTTCTGCCAGGAGGCGCCGAGTGGTGAAACCGCTCAGTTTCAGATGTGGAGCCCTCTTCACTCTTGATATTTGGCCCCGAATGCGAGCAGGACGGATGGGGAGGGGAAAGGAGGGCGCTGCTGGGGGCCCCCGGAGGCTGGATTTGGGGCCGCCTGGGCGGTCCTGCTCCGAGGGGCCAGACCTGACTCGCGGGGCTTGCAGGCCAGCACCTGGGTCCCGGGGACCCGGAAACACCTTCAGATCCCGGTTGGAACCTAAATTTTAGGATTCTGGGTAGGGCCACCGAGGACAGGAAGACGCATTCTTGGGCGGGTGGGGGTGGGGTGAGCAGGCGGGGAGTTTTCCGTAAGGTTTAGTTAGAGGAGCAAGAAAAAGCTACCAGTGGCCACTTCTGGGACCCCAGCATCCTGCCCACACTGGGAAGCGGCAGAAACTCCCCCCCCCCTTTTTTTCTTCAAGAAAAGGATAGTCATTTCAAGGCTTAAGCTTTGGTATGTTGTTCCACTTGGAAATTCCTTGAGCCTCAGTTTATCTTTCTGAATCAGTCTTACAGGGCTTGGGGCATGGGACATTCCTGAACATGGGTGAAGTTAATGGCGGTTGCAGTGGTTCACTATCCAATTTGGGGTCGTGTGTTATTGACCACCAAGTGTACTACAACCTAGCTTGGTTTCCTAGTTTTCTAGATTCGTGTGGAACAATTAAACTGTGTGTTTTAAGAAGCCTAGGTCTGATTTAGTTCAGGTTGATTCAATTATGTCTTCATCGCTTTTGAGTTGGTTGAGTGACTTGACATGAGATTAAGCTCAACAAAAGAAAAGGCGAGGTAGCAACAGCTGCTGTCCAGGCCCAGGGACTAGGTAGGGGTCTTAGGGGGGCCTTTTACCTTCTCTTTTGTATGTGTCAAGAAGTACATTTAAAATGTTCTTATTTGACTGTACTTTTTGCCCTGAAGTGGATGTACTGCCTTGATTGATATCAAACAAAACTTAAAATGCTAAATTTTATAGTACTTTGCGAATGAGTAGTAGATCCAGAGTTTCTACAAAGCCTTTATGTGTCTGTAGTGACAAGTGCAGGGCAATAACCTCGCTGCTTTTTTGTCTGAAAATGTAACAGTCAAACCACTAGTTTGTGCTTGCTTAGTTAATGTGTGCTAAGAACTTTTAAGGTGTGTCTTTAATGGTAGATAACTTTTTTCCTTCTGAGAAGTCATGTTTATTTTAGATATTGTTTTGTTCAGTGTTCTGGAGACTTGCAGTAGTGTTTTGGTGTTTTTAAAAAAATCCTGATGTTGCTACCATTTTTAATCAGTTATGTAAGTATTCAAGAGGCAGTGACTTTAAAAATTCAGTTGTCAAGAGTTACAAGGCAGATTTACAATGTGTTTGAATCGTTGGAATAAGGTTCATAATCTGGTTGTTTGGAATTTTAATTATTTGAGGTGGTGTGGGAGGCTGGTTCTTTAGAATTGTACATTCATTTATTTGCATACTGGTGGGGGAAGTAGAGGACAAGATTACGACTTGAATTGGTGAAGGACACGTACTTTTCCTTAGCGTCCTTGTAATCCTTTTGTCTTCACAATACCTTCCTAACACTTTGCAGTTTGACCTTTGCTGTTTTTTAATAACTCGGGATATCGAAGTTTAGCTGTTGTGTTGGATTCATACTCCCTTTCACTTCTTACTAAAAAAAAAAAAAAAAAAAAAAAAAAGGAACTAATATACCACTTAGAAAAAATTTGTAGAAAACTTTTCCCCCCTTTTACCCTGAAGAATCTATTTTGATAACAGCTTAACTTTTTTTTCCAGGTAGTAGGTGGGGAAAAGGTTCTTACTTTGACTGCCTTTTAAGGTGGGGTAGATTTGCATTTTCTTTGTAATCCTCCATTTTTGGCAGGGAAATGGGAACCCCTAATTCCCTTCCAGGGGACTTGTTTTAAAGGAAATCTCAAAATCAGACTTAATCATCAAGTCACCTATAAACTGATGAAATAATTAAGGAATACAATGGCCTGGCAGTGACTCAGTCCCTCTATCTCCTTTTGCAGATAAATGCTAATCACTTTTTTCTTTTTTAACAGCATTTATTATGAAATGGCATTTTTTTGCCACAGCAGGGTTGCCATTTCCCAACCCTGGAGCACTCTTAGCTCTGAGATCCTTGATTAGAGCCTCAGGGGTCCCAGAAGATGTGCTATTTTCCCACTTTATAAATGATATTGGTTGATAAGAACTTTGGAGTAGTTTTAATGACTCTTGACGGTCTTAAAAAAAGATCTACTTTTATCTGACTCTTCTGAAAGTAAATGATTGGACCTTTTTATGTTTTACTTAAGCCTTGTTTCCATTTGCTTAAAAAAAATTTCAATTCAGGTTGTTTCACATCATGTGTGCTAGTGTGGCCTGTATGTTACCAATATTGAGGTTGCTAGGTATGATTTGTTTTAAGTGGTTCATTCCTAATTTCCCATTTCAGTTTAATCCCAGGGCAGTTGGTTTATGAAATGAATCGGAAAGGTGACTGAAGTATTGAGTAATGGCCACATGTTTTCAAGCTTTAGAATTACAAGGTAGGAATGAAAGACATGAGACAGCTGGATAAGTTGATGAGCACTCCTATAGACTAAATGTAATGAGATTTTTACATTAATTCACTATAGTTGGAACATATAGAATAGCTTTCCAATTGCTGGGGTGTTAAAAATAAAAACCTGGAAGGTATTTACAGAACAGCCACCAACATGGAATTAAAGGAATCTAAATCTTATTAAATATTCTAAACAGCGAAGGGTTTAGTTACAGCATGTAAATGAAACTTGTGACAATGGAGGAGGCTTGATCCGCACCCTACATCTCCAGATTTGGGGGGGAGGGGTGTTAACTAGTTTAAATGCACGTGGAAGAAAGAATGTGTTACACAAAGATAGCAGGAAATTTCTTAAATTCGGATGAGGGAGGCCTGATGATTGAATATTACTTAATGGCTTCATTTTAGGGACAGTATAAAAACATGCTGGAAATACTGATTAAAAAAAATTTTTTTTTTTTTAAATAAGGTGATCTGGGATTATTTTTCTCCAAGTAGTAATATATACTTAGATGAATTTGCAGCGGTATGTAGGGCAGAGGTTTTTAAATTTAGACCACGAGGACAGATAGAAATCTGACTTTTAAGGAAGTGGAATATCAGGGATCATTCTTCCTAAAAATCTGTAGCTGTAATAAACAAGGTCAATTCTTGTACACATCAGTCTTCCAGATAAATGGTGGAGGGGGCCGGTGGGAAGCCCCTGCTGGCCAGCTGCCACCACATATTATTACCCTTTTATATTTTACATTGGAATGTTTCACATTCGAGCATTTGTTGACTGACTGTTCTAAATCTCCCCATTACTTCCTGCCCTATGGTATCAGCATAACTGAGTTACTGGAAATTTGGGGCCAGTTTGGTAATTTTATGATAAAGTTGAGAAATAAAATTACTAAACCTGAAAAGACAGCTGAGTAAGTTGTGTGAGTGAGTGAGTTTAATTCCTTAGCCTTTGTTCTTAAGATTTACCGAAGTTGTTTTTGACTCCATGCCTCTTCTTCATATAGGAGAGCTGCCCCAAGGTCAGATGCTAGTTTTTTAAAGGGTTTATGTGGTGTTTTCGTATTGGTGTTCCAGTAGTTTCTAGTGTGTTTGGGAACCTTCCAAATTTAAAAAGTAGCTGAATGGACTGGAGATGTGGACTCCAGATATGTTCTTGAATTAGCATTAGGAGTAATACTTGTTTTAACTTTTCCTACCTGTGCCAGATGAAGATAGCTTAAACAATTCATTGATACCCGAGGAAGCATTTTTTCCTTTCTTTTGTAATCAGTAGGTAGATTTTTTTTTTTTCAGTTTAGTTTGTAAGCCTACTGAACAGTGATGGTATGATTAATTGAAAGGATTTTCCAGGTAATTTTGACAGCAAACAGATGACTTTAAAAAGCCAGACATAGGCCGAGTTGAGAGGCTTGCCTAAGCCCACGGGTTCAAGACCAACCTAGGCAACTTGGCAAGACCTCATCTCTACAATAAATCAAAAATTTAGCCAGGCATGATGGTGCATGCCTGTAGTTCCAGCTACTTGGAAGGCTGAGGCGGAAGCATCGCCTGAGCCCAGCAGATTGAGGCTGCGGTGACCAGGAGAGTGCCACTGGCTTCCAGCCTGGGTGACAGAGTGAGAGACTCCAACTCAAAAAATAAAAAAAATAAAGCCAGACATACAACTGTAGTATTTATTCAGCACACGACAGAGGGGGGAATTATTTAAAAGTTGCTAGAGAAATATCTTAGACCGTAAAAAGCACTGCCCAAACTTGTATTTAACTGAAGTCAATTAAATTATGTCTAATTCAGAAAGCTCATCGTTAGGTCTTCTGGAAAAAGTGGTATGGTATGTAGTATAGTGTAATGAATATAGTTATTTGTGTATATATACACAGTTACTTTTATGTGTATATATGTGTGTGTTTATACATATACACACATAAAGACACATGTTCGTTCGTTGTTTTCATTATAGAGGGTTAGAGTGCAGACAGAGATAGAATAATGAGCTTATTTTCTAAATTTGCTGAGATCTCTAATTTTTTTTTTTTTTGGTGCAGTTAGGCCTGTCATATCTCTTCAAAATATTTAGGTTGTATTGGCTTAAGTAGTAATAGTGGCAACTGATAGCAGTGCTTAAGCTTGCTTAATTAAAATGTTAAAAAAATTCACTTCCTTTATAATGCTTTTCAGAGTAAGATGGAGTTCTTAAAAGCCAGTTTGCAGTTCATAGTATCTGTTAATATTGAAACTAAAACCAGTGTGAGGTACTTTGAGTTCTTATTAATAAGATCCTTTAACTGACCTTAACTGATTTGGGATGAATCAGGCAGTTTCTAAGTATGACACTCAAATATTCTATATTGTTTTATTTTTATAGTACTTTAGTCTTTAACTCTTTGTAAAACTGATAATTATAAATATCAGTAACACAAGGTTGTTATTTCCTATAGAAGCTCCCAAGTTTTACCTTTGAACAGTTTTTTTTTTTTTTTTTTGGGCCTATGAAGAATTTAGGTTGTAATGTTAAATATAAACTTTAAATATTCTAATCGTTTGCTTTAAAAAAAAAAATTTGACATTCCCCAATCAAGTACTATTGCTTAACTTTTAAGCACTTTTCCATAGCTATATTAGGAAAGTTGGAATGACCATTTCTCTCA